CTAAAATCCTAAAACGAACTGCCGTGCCAGATAGCTCGTCTAGAACATCAGGACTGCCTCAGCAGAAAGGCAAGCAATCTGCTTCCTGACCATGGCCGGAGTTACTGAAGCCACCCTCTTCTTTGTTCCAGCAAATGAACCCTACAGTCTGTAAGTCTCAGTATGGAGGGCAAATAAACTCACAGATGTCACTACAAATGAAATCCTTTTTGTTTTGATTTGTCTTATTGTTTAAAATGGTCAGATGTGAACTGTTGCCCCTTCTAAAGAAGGCTGTTACGGGTACCTGGCTTCACCTATTCACACGGGCCCCGCGATGAGACCTCAAGGAGAGATGGACTGCTGGATAGGGCTTCAAGAACTCCCATCCAATGGTCCTTCGCAGCGGCCCAGTCTGCCGAGCACTGCAGAGAAAGCCACAGTGACCATTCCACGGTCCTTATCCTCTAAGAGTTTAGAAGCTGAGGAACGAGACTACAAAAACGTAGGTGGGAGATAACAGAATAAAGGCTACAGCTGCAGTAAAACTCTGCTGTCTCACTCAGAATCTTAGAAAAATGAAACTCAAAATTAGTGAATCCTACATTTTCTAAACCCCATGATCTACAGGTTCACATACTAAGGCGGCAGCTTCCAGAGCACCGAGCAATGAAAGGCCCAGAACAATGATCACAAGCTCTTTGCACCTGCAGAGCAGGGGGCACCACTCTCTTCTGGCAGAGACCTTTCAGTTATACTGTGAGTTCCCAGGGCTGGCGTCCCTCACGCACTCTCCTCTCTGAGCAGAAAAGCTTGGGCCCAACTCCCTGCCAGTGCGGACAGGTGGTAGCATCTGATGTTCACCAGTAAGCATACTTGCTCCTTACCCGTTCCCGCTGAGGAGTGAGCAACCCCTCTCTGAAGCTCCTGTCAACCTTCGTGAATGCCATCCCACACTCATACCTGAGCTGACCTCTCTAAACCCTGGCCCACCACCCTCCGCTTCAGGCAACATCCATCCTCTCCCAACACCAGGCCTTGCTCCTGAGCGTGCTCCACCTGCAACCTGTCCTCTCCCTTTTCTGCAGAGGCCAAACTCTCCTCGCCCTTCCAGACCCAGCTCACACATCCCCTCCCCTTAGAAGCCTTTCTTGCCCTACCAAGAGGAGTCAGACGGCACCCGCACCTTGCTCTAGTATCTTTCTGCTCCTCTGGTGTACTTTTAATGTCGCATTCTCCCTTCTGAGAATGCTGGACTCTTCTAATGAACACAGCTGCTCGAGATTAGGAGCTACATCCCATATGTTCTCATTTATTAGGACACTAGCCCAAGGCCTAATACACAATAGGCACATGGAGAATGAAAAAAAAAAATATATATATATATATATATATAGAGAGAGAGAGAGAGAGAGAAGGACTACACACCAAAATGGAAAAGAAAGAAAGGTTTCTGCTCTCTGTCAGGTGCACTGCAATCTCATATACCTAATAATATGTGTCAGGAAAGCAACAGGCAAGGTCGTAAATCTTATTCTCCCCCAAAGTAAAGCCTCTGCCAGGCTTTTATTATTCCATCCACTGGGTAAAGCTCTACCTGTAAGAAGACTCAGATCAACAAACTGCTTTGTTCTTTCTTATTTCTTCGCAGAGCATTTGATTTGGAATGCAGACCTCCTCTGCCAATTCGGAGGGAAGCACAGCTCCCAAGGGCTCCAGTGATACCCACAGCACTCACCCAGAGGGCCTGGACCAGTCCACAAGGGACAGGAAATAGATAAATATAAGCAGAACAGTTCACACAGCTGTGCTAGATGGGAAATGTTAACAACTGTCATCAGAAGTAGATTATAAAAATTATTACCTTTCCTTGTCATTAGTTTTATTAACTTTTTCCAATAATGAGCTGAATCATTCACTCACGCAGAAGAGGATTAAAAAATCAATATTGTAAAAGTCAGAGGCAAAAGAGAAAGCAGGAAACCACATTAAATGTCAAATGGCACTCAGTCCAGTCAAAAGCAGATCCTTTGGATGAGACTCCAGGTTGGCTGTGGGGCGCAGGGGCACTGAGTCTGAGGAGGCTCATCTTGCCAGCATGCACACCAGGCTGCCTCAGGGCTGCCCCGCCCCCAGGGTGGGACCAACACTTCTAACTACCAGGCCCTCGGCACTCAGCCCAGCAGGCTGCCAACTCACTGCTGCCTTCAATCCTTGCATGTGGAAGACTTGGATGAGAAAATACTTCGTTCAGGTTCTTCTCTTCATCTTTCTCCTCTTATTTAAGTCTTCCAAAGTATAGCTTTGGAATTATCTCCACTAAAGCATTTGCCAACCACACCACCCCAATCCAAAGGGAACTGCTTCCTTTAGAAGTGATGGCAACCGCATCCACCCAGCATTTCAGTTGGCTGCCTGGTATCACTGTCAACTTATAGAACAGCACCTGGCTCCCATTCTACTCTTGCCTACCCCAGCCATAAATCATCCGTAACAGCACTTCCTGAAGGACACGCTTCTGCCATGGTTCTACACAACAACCAGCCCTGGCAAACCGACAAAGCAGAGTGGAGAGGCAGTGACCAGCCGGCGACATGACCCTCAGGAAGGCAGGCGGCCCAGACAGAATCCATGGGCGGCCTGGGGTACATGACGGTGTCCGCATGGAGGACCGACAGACACCTGAACTGCAGTGAGGAACTCCAGCCCCTGTCTCCCAGCCTCCTCTGGCCTCACTGAGAACTCAAAGTCCCTGGGACAGGGCTTTCCATGGCTGAGCTGGGGACCTGTAGCCACATCCATTTTCCACACAGGAAGCTGGGTGTCGGGATACAATCCCTCCAAGGATATGCTCCACAGGAAACAAGAATGCTCCCAAAAATAATCTAGAACATCAATTGTAAGGAGAAATGGACGCAGAACAGTCAAAAAATGGGATTGCCCACAAAAGTTAAGTATTTCCAAACTGAAGGAAGTAATTTGCTTTACTAAAGTTCCCTAAACACTCTGGTTCAGAGAACGGCACTATCCATCTTGCAATCAGGGGAAATCAAGTATGGATATACTTTAGTCTAAAGTCATCCTACACTTAACCCAAATAATAAGAAGCTACACACCTGTACCAAGGATCATCTAAGTTCCTCCCTACTTTACCAGCAAGAGAGAAGATCTTCCCCCAAGACAGTCCAGGCAATCAGCCCAATCTTTCCCTTTGCAGGTGGAAGAAAGGGAAACTGGAAGTTCTCCTTCACTTAATTAACACTCTCCAGGTGAGAAGGAAGAAGCAGCACACCTGTAGGCTGTGATTTTGCATCTCTCATGACTGTCCCAGATGACTTTTTCTGCACTGTCTAAACTGATTAACCCTTCCTCTCCAGGACAAGTGTCCTCTGCACATGGTTGTCAGGCTGCCTGCCTCAGAGGCAAACTGCAAGAACCTCTAAGACCATGTCGTCCTGGCTCCAGCTTCTCATTACATTCACCGACTCCTGCAGGATCCACAGGGTCCCAAAAGCACAAGTTAGAGGGCACCACTCCCATCCTTACAAACGTCAGTCACTGTGGGCTGTTTTGTGAGCTAACTCCTCAAGGTGTCTGAAGTCTATTATCTGGCTCGAACAGTGCTCTTCTCACCCTGTGTGCTGTCCCCTGTGACAGACCAGCTGCCTCCTTGGGCTGTGAAGGGTACACAGCTTCCAGGGCTGAGGTCCAATGCCATCTCTGACCACCAGCACCTAACATGACTCCCCTCATTCGGAAATCATTTTATCCTTACTGCCATTTAACATGTGTGTAACTGATTTGGTCTTTGAAAAGTCCTTAGCTTAAATCTATCTTCCTCACTATAGCAAAGATTTCCTGAGGGTTGGGAGCTTGGTTGTACTTCCTAGAGGGTCCAGTTAAGCCAGCATATCTTATGCACCCACTGCATTTTGAACATCTGTGTAATCATCAAATTAGTAACCAGAGGCCTATGCCCAGCCAGCAGGTCTGCCGTCCCCTTCCCAGAGTGGTTATCTCATGTGGCTTCTCCTCCATTCTATGGGCACTGGGCTGCATACCTAGTGCAGGGAACAGCTGCTCCGGTCTCAAAGCCCACGTCCTGAGATGCAGGCAACGGCCATTCCCTCTACCCTGTTGTCAGTCCTAATTCCACCTGGCTGTCTGCCCTTAAAGTGCGCCTAGAAAAGGGCTCTGGGTGCGGTCTATAGAGCCTCCCTACTCACTGTGCTGAGGACTGCTCAACCATGGACACCGTGTGCACTTCTCCTGGGGGTTCTGGTTAAGGAGCCCTTGCAAGCAGTCATGTGGGCTGACACAGCCTCTCCTCTTCTGCTGCTGAGTGTGGTCCTACTGGCATGGGACTGTGAAATCCCCACGGCCATCAGTGAACTGCAGGGACAGTTAACCTGAGTACAGATGACACACTTGGCATAGCAGAGAAGAAGGAGGGGCACTGGATGCTGATGCTGATGTCAGCACTGGGACTGTACCTGGACATCTCACGTTAGGAAGTAACTCTGCCCTTCAGCGGAAAGACTCCTGACTAATGGTCTCCAGTCATGACATGTATTAATCACAGCAGCAGCAGTAATAGCACACTTTCATAATTTGCTAGGCACGTGCTAAGCCCTGGAAATATAGTCTCTCTAATCCCCCAGGCAATCCTGTATGTGAACATCATGATCCTTAAGCCAGATTCCAACAATGTGCCTGAGCTAGTAAGTAGGGAGCCGAGGTTTGCACCCAGGTGGCCTGACTTTAAAAGCGATCCTGTCCATGCTATATATTGAGTGTCCAAGCCCCTAGCCCTTCCTCTTCATACCCTCCTGGCAAACACAGTAACGTACCCCAGCACCTGTGAAGTTTCAGAGATGAATGAGACTCAGATGATCTGGTCATTACTGCAGCAAAGCAAATCAGTGACAGAGCCAGGGCTGGAAGAGCCCTTTCCACAGAGGTGGAGCTGAGGAACTGGCCAGCCCCAGACAGATCCAGCAGCCGGGAAGATATGCACTCACCAGGCGGGCTGACTGCTGCTTCTCCTGGTCAGCACTGCCCTCCTCTGCAGGCAGGGCTGCTGTCAAGTGCTTGGCAGCTGCCTCTCTTTCCTGCTTCACCACCTGGAACAGCTCATCCTGGACTGTGGCCTGCTCCTGTCTGAACCTAGGCCGGAAGAGAGGGGAGAGGCAGATGCAGAAGGCACAACTGGCAGAACATCAGCAGGGAAAGGTGTGATCCTGTTCACTTCAGCGGGCCCAGCAGGGCTGGGATATATGGCTGATGGAACTCTGAGGCTGCCCAGGAAAAGAAGGCCTCAGAGTTCAGACATCAGGACAGCTCCCAAAGCCAGGATAGGGTGACTCAGCATAGGGCAGGATGGGATTGCTGGCCACCAGGTGAGGAATCAAGCAGCCATGTGCTCAATGAGAGCCTCACAGCCAGGCTGAATCCCGTGTAAACCCCTCCCCTTCAGAGCAAGGGTGCTGGATGGGGAGCCCCAACTTCCTCTTGGCACCATCTGAAGATAGCCTGAGGCTTCAGCCGTGCTTTGCTTTGAACACTTAACTTGTATGCTCCCACCCTTTGACCTATTCTGGGCATTCTGCCTAGGAAAAGAATCCTAACAGAGAAAACTAACTGTTAGCGCTAAGATGCTCTTAGATACTGTTTATCTAAAAGCTATTTACTTTAAAAATACAAGAAACCTAAATGTACAACCATCAAGATCAAGCTAAATAAAATATCACATTATCATACCATGGTATACTGCACTACCAATGGAGAATATACTCTTTGACTTATCTATCTGTTGAATCTAAAATGAGAACAAGTAAACAATATACTTGGCAATAAAATATTTATAAAGCAGGTGTAACTAATGGAAAATATAATCTAAGTGAAAAAAGCAAGATGCAAAATCACATATGGCTTTAAAAAACTAATCCTGAACTAAGGGAAAGAAGGCATGTGAAACAGACTCCAAAATATTAACAGTGGTTGTACTCAGATAATGAGCCTATGGGGATTTCTTTCATTTTCTATATTTTCTGAATCTTTCATTAGCATATATTACTTAAACATTTTAAAATTGTTTAACAGTATCCAAAAAGAGATGGGGGAAGAGTGCAGGTTACTCTGAGAGGGGCCTCTTAGGAGTAGGGAGGGTAAATTCTTAGGGTGTGGGTCTTAACCCAGCATGGGGGACTCATTGGAGGGCCAAAGCCCCGACTGTGGCAGCCACTGGGCCACAAGTTACCTCTTTGGGTCTTCTGTCCACACAGAGGCCAGCTTCCCCAGGGGTGCCGAGGAAGCCAGCTGGTGACAACTGCAGTCGGCAGTTGCTGAGCACTCTGCGTGCCAGGCACCATGCTTCCGCACCTTCTGTGCATCAGCTTTGTAAATCATGGCAACACCCTGTTAGAGGCACTCTTCTTAGCCCTTCTTAGACACAATGACTTTCCCAGATGACTAGGGGGTCACAGAGTTGGGATATCGGTACATACATATCCAATCAGGATGTCGATTAAGGCCTCTGCCTTAACCACTTTTCTACAAGTCCTCAGGGGACGGGAAGCAGGTCTCATTTCAGAGATGTGGCTGGCTCTCAGGATCCTGGCCTGGCTGACAGGAAGTCACCAATATCCTGGAGCCAGTCTATCAGTTAGAACTGTGAGGGTTCCACTTTCTTCATCTGTCTAAAAACACACCTATAGGTGCACGCACACGCACGCACGCGCGGGCACACACACACACACACACACACACACACACACACACACACAGAGGACGGTCACTTGCTGTTTAGTCCAAGCTTTTCAAAATGAATTTTTAAAAACCCGCTTGTAGGGCTGGGGATTTAGCTCAGTGGCAAAAGCGCCTGCCTGGCAAGTGCAAGGTCATGAGTTCGGTTCCCGGTACCGGAGAAAAACAAAAAAAAAACAAACAAAAAAAAAACCCGCTTGTAGTAATCAGCTCCCTTGGGCCCCTGGTGGAATGTCTTCATCTGTAAAATAGGACCAGTGTCACCTATACCACAGGGTTGTCCCTTACCACAGGGCTGTCCCTCAACACAAGAGAGATAAAACACATAACACAAAACTTCCAGGGCCCCAGCAGGGAGCGCACCAGTGAGAAGGAACGAGGCCTCAGGCGGAGCACGGCACTGGTGGTGGGCACTCGGGCTCACCTCTTGAGATCCTCCTTCACTGCTGAGGGCTGCCGGCCACCACTTGTCTCGGACCCAGGCAGTTTGGGTTCTGCAAAGAAAATGAAAAAAGAATCCTGTCAGAAAGCAAAGGGTTCAGGGACACACCCCCACCTAGGAAGGTGCCCCTTCAGAACAGTGTGCCCCACAGGTGGACATGCCCCCCACAGAGAAGCATGCCCCACAGACAGACAAATGAGCCCCAGCAGACAGAAGAGGGACTGGCCCTTAATTCAAGCAGCCTGTTGACCCTAAGCTTCTTCTTGTGCCCCAGAGGACAAGATCTCTCTGCAGCAGGTGCTAACAGCATGGGGCTTACAGCCACTCTACGCAGTGTTCCAAATCCATCCCTATTCATTCAATCATGATTTGGAATCTGGGTCACATCCGAAACACAGGCCAGACGTGGCTGGCAGGAGCCAGCTCTGCTCCATGAGAACAGCCTGCTAGGTCTCGCTTTTGGCATAGGGACAGGCGAGGACAGAAGGCTCCTTAAGTTTTGCTTCCTTTAGTACCTGCTGTAGTTTGAGATTTAATTGCTATTCTGAGAGTATTAAGAGATGAGGCTTTGGGGGGTTATTAGGTGGGGATGAGGTCACCAGGCTGGGGCCCACAATGGCATCCGTGGATTTTTAAGAAGAGGAAGAGACACCTAAACTTACACGCTTGCTCTGTCTCACTGTGTGCTATCCCGAGTCCTCACCAGCTAGGGAACCCTCAACAAGCGTGGCTCATCAATCAGAATGGGGTCCCAGCCTGCAGAACTGTAAGAAGCTTCTCTTCATGAACTAGCCAGCCTGAGGTGATTCATTACAGTAACAGAAAACAAACTAATCCAATATCCAATTTCTGATCCTGAATGTGGCAACATCCCATATTAAACCTAATTATACCATAACCTGTATCATGTCTAGCATCCTTACGTTGTTACAGCAGGTCTACCTCCTTCGGTCATCATGAATTTGGCGATTTCCAAGCAAATCCACTTTACTCTCTCTACTACCTGGTGCCCTGAATGCTGCTATGCTCCCTTCCCCTCTGGCCACTGCCCTTCCAAATGTTCTGTCAGGCAAAGCTCAGCACATCTTGTGATGTCCTCCCCATCCACTGCTGGTTTCTGCTGCAGTATCCACCAGAACTGCACAGGTGGGAGGGAAGCAGCTGGCTCTGGGAGGGAGGACTGAGCCTTTGCTCTTCCACCCCAGCTTCCAAGGCACCCATCCAAGAGGCATTTCCGAGACAGGCCAGCCCGTGACTTGCGCTGGCTCGCATAGGGACAGCTAGGCACAACTCCAACCTAGAGAAGACACACCTCACATGCTCTGCAGGAACACGCCAGACTCTACAGAGACTGAAAAGTGAGTAGACCATTGCCAGGAGCCTATTGTCCTATTTTGACATTAATGCTCCTCATTCTTATTTCCCACAGCTTCACTGAGGTACGATTTATGGTATTTATTTTTGCTTTTGATATACTCTTCCTATTTTACAACTAACAAAATAATACACCTACCCACTGTTAACAATGTGGCACCAATCTACACTCCTTCCTTGCCGGTAGGATTCAGCCAGCTTCCCTGTTTCCCTGGCAACTATTGGTTTAATATGTGTGTCTTCAATTATTAGCAAAGTCAAAAGTCTCATCATATAAACATCAGACCATTTGCACCATTTCTACTGTGTTCTCTTAAAGATCTCTTCATACATTAAGATTACCAGTACTTTGTTAAATTCCGTATTTTGCCTCGCTTATTGTCCATTCCTCAGCTTTTTTTAAAATCATCTCTAATTTCAGATAGTCAATTTTCTAGTTTTGTTCTTTAATTTAAGGTTTCTTCACTTGACGTAGCGCTTAGAAAATCCATTTTATTTTTATGGTTTCAATTCTTACACTTACATCTTTTATTTCCTCCGGCATTTATTTAGGGGTATGGTGTGAGATGAGGATTTAATTTTAACTTCTTTTTCTAACCTTGTTCCATCACTAAAATAAATGCAAAAACTGATTTTAAGAGTTAAAGCTGCCTTAAAATGAGTCTACTTCAAGGCAGTCCATTTGTCTTAAATCTTCTTCAGGATTCAGAAACTCAAAACTCTCACTCATTACTTCAACTGCAAAATATTTTGTTATAATTAAAACCACACAACAAACAAACTACTACTTTTTTCTTCTTTTTAAAATTCTGAACCCAGGGGGCAAGGGAGATAGCTCAGTAACACAGTGCCTGCCTGGCAAGTGCAAGGTCCTGAGTTCGATTCCTGATACCAAAAAAATAAAAATAAAAATAAAAAATAAAATTCTGAACACAAATTGGAAGCAACTGCATCTTTCATTCCAGAACAGAAGCTGATATGTCATATAGTTGGCAGTTTTTGCTTTTTTCACTACTTTCTCCTTCTCACTGATAAATCTATGAAATCTATCACTGATAAATGTTGGGTCAAGTTAGATCTTTCTTTAACCCCTCTTATTATTGGACTACAGATGGGTCATAGAAATTAAGCTTTTCGATAAAATACAGGGGCATGTGTATTTTAGGGCTTGTAGGGCTTTCAAGAATCTCACTTGGCCCCCTCAAAAAGATTCAGGATGAGTCCTGTCCAGGTAGAAGGGCTCAGCTACCTGCGGAAGCCCTGAGGCAGGCAGCATGAGGCACAGGTATGAGACTGCCTTGCCTGGCTGGTGCTTCCGGGCCTTGAGGATGAATGCAGAGCTTTCTAGCCACTGCGTGGACCAAACTGATCATCCTTTCTACTTTGTATTCCAGAGACAGTAAACTGCTTTTAGGTTACCAAACAGGCCAGGCCATGCCACACCTCTGGGCCTCTAAGTTCACCTGTAACCGGACCCACCACCATCCTATCTGTCCAAATCCAGGGAGCCCCTCCTGGAAGATAAGCCCGCTCTACACTGTCCTGGACCTCAGGCAAGGTAGCCCTCTCGTGCTGTGATACAAGTCACAACCTGGAGGGAAGCACATCTGGGCCTTAATTAGGGCTGCATGGACCCCAAGGGAGGGGTCCCACTGCCACTGTGTCACGTGCAGACCGTAGATGGTGAAGATCAGGAGAAATGACAAGACTGGGTGAGGCCATGTGCATGATGACACTATGGTGAACGGCATCCACTGTGACACTATCTATCCTCTGTCAAGGCATGGCTCCTCCAGCCAGTCCCCAAGGAGGACACCCGAGGGGCCGGGCTTAGGTTAGAGTCACTGAGGCTAAGAATGGCTCTGTGTCTCTTAGAATCCATAAAGCAGTTTCTTACCTGAGTTGTCAGAGCACGTCCTTCTGCCTCATTTTCTCCACGTGGAGAAACTACAACAGAGTGAGGGAAAACAGTCTGGTCCAGACCACAGAAGCCCCGAATATTCCCACACCATGCAGCCAGCATCACGCCAAGCCACATCTGTCAGCAAGAGAACCACGCTCTTAGGAAAGCATGAGCATACCAGACTCGCTTACATCACCCGGCAGCGGAGTAGCCACATGAGCAGTCAGACATTGTCGTCTATCCCTCCTTTCCCAGCTCCCTAGCCCCAGAGCTGCTGTGCCCACCATACCTTGCTGGGTTGCTATGCAGCCTCGGTCCAGAGTTGCAGGCGGAGGGGCTGGATGCTGGCCTTCTGCGGGCAGGCCGGGATCCTTCATGCGGTGGACCACATTCTCAGACAGCTACGGGAAGGATTGAGGAATCAGAAAAGAGGGACAGGACAAAGCTATACCACAGGAACTCCTGGCTGTTAGGACTCCCTTTATTCATGCTCCAGACTTCCTGAACAGTCTCCTCCAGACAAACGCTGATAATCTCATTCTGTGCAAAAGCCTCCTATGGTGCCCAGTGCCCCCCAGGTCAATGGCCAACTGCCTGGTGTGCCAAGCCTGCCACACTGCATGCCCCCAGCTCTGCAGCTGCACTTCCCACCGCGCCTCCCCATGCCCTGGCCTCGGTGCCACTTGAGTTCTCTCTTCTCACCTCCTCTGAAGGCACAGGCTGTCCCTCTGAGCATGATGAGCCCTCGCTTCCCACCCCATCCACCTCCACCACCCCTAGTTGCACTCTTCCGTGAAGGGTGACACAGGGACAGCATCAGAGTGAAGCATCGTTCACCGCTCCCTTTAACCCACCGTAATGCAGGTACCTCTCCAGGTGGCACTGTACCTCCTGCCAGCCACCCTGACAGTCAGTACACAGCGTGAGGGCCAGGGCTGTATCTCCCTCGCCCCTGTACACCCTCTAGTGCCACACAGAGCAGATAATCAAAATACTTCTTGACTCATTTCACCTTAGTTCCTCTAACGAAGACTGGATAACCAAAACTCTCATTCATTTCAGGGAAAGTGAAATAGGCATAAGGGTGTCATAAAACAGTTTACTGAGATGAAATAGCAAGCTAGGGATAAATCTAGAATAAAAACCCTTAAGAGTTCACTTCAGTAAATATTTATTAAGTGCCTAATATGTGCAAGGCATCATAAAGCACAGTGGAGGGGAAGACATTAAACATGACTTTAAGACAAAAGACATGATCAGCAATTCTACTTCCACATATCTGAGAAAAATACTCCCCTGTGTACACAAAGGCATGTAAAAGGAGGCTCACTGTGGCACTAGTGGAAAAAGACAAGATCTGGAAAAACATAAATATCCAACAATAGGGAACTAGTTAAAGAAGTCTTAGTGTGTACATTCTGAAATCTGGAATCTTTAGAAAGAATGAGGGAAGACATGTACACACAATTGGGGAAGGATGGATAGGATAGGATGTGTTAAGTCACAGAGTTCTTTGTACATCTCTATTATGTAAAAAGACAGACACAGTTATTAAAATGCAGGTGAACATAATTCTGGCTGTGAGTAAATAACACATGTCCACATTTACAAATGCAAGTGTGCATCTGAATCGTCACATGTGTGCATGTGGATCTGCTCAGAGAGGAATCTATAGCAGCACTGACCATGGCACTCACAGGGTTGTGCACCATAAGCGGGTAAGAGCAGCAGAGGCAAGACTCTCTCCTTGGGGTCTATGGGTCTTAATTCAGTTTCCGTGTGTGTGTGCATGTGTGTGTGTTCATTTTTTTTTTACCACAAATGTTTATTTAGTAACTAAAGACTATAATAATGATTGAGTCCCTCTGCAAATCCAATAGCTAAGGAATGACATAGAGTAAGACCAGACACACATATCAATGGGAAGGAACACTGACTCCAGCAGGGATGCCCTCTGGTTTGGACAGGGCTCATGTGTTGAAGTGTGGTCCTCAGGTACAATGGAGAGAGGCATTGGGACCCTCAGGAAGTAAGCCTGGGGAAGGCTGTTACTGCCCCTCCCCTCTCTGGCTTGTGGTCTGGGGATGTGATTACACCTTCTCTTATGTGCTCCCACTTGCCACAGTGATCCCACCCACCATGAAACTCTGCAGCCAAGGGACCCTCCCCAGAGCCAGAATCATGCCATTGGACCTTCAGCCTCCAAGCTGTAAGATAAGTAAACCTTTTTTCTTTATAAGTACCCAGCATCAAGTATTTTATTAGAGTAACAGAAAACAGAATAGTGTAGAAGCCAAGACAAATTCAACCAGGGAAAATAGAGCCCTTTCAATAAATGATGTGGGAACAACATAATATCCACATACCAAAGAATAAAGCTGAATACCTACCTCATACCACACATAAAAACTAACTGAAAAAAGATCACTGACCTAAGTGTAAGACTAAAACAATAAAATTCTTAGAAGAAAACATAGGGCTAAATCTTACTGACTTTGTGTTGGCAATGGACTTGTAGATATGACACCAAAAGTACAAGCAACTAAAGAAAAAAATGGATGTATTGGACTTCATCAAAGTAAAGCTTTGTTTATCAAAAGACATAACCAAGCCAGACATGATGGCACACACCTGTAATTCTGACTACTCAGGAAGCGGAGGCAGGTGGATGACAAATTCATGGCCAGCCTAGGCAATGTAGTAAAACCGTATCTCAAAATTTTAAAAAATAAGAAAGTTCTCGGTGACAGAATGCTTGTCTAGCCAGTGTGAATCCCTGAGTTCAACTGCCACTACCACAAAAACAAACAAAGCAAAACTACAATCAAGCAACTGAAGACAACCCACAGAATGGGGCAAAATATCTGCAAACCATATAGCTGATAAGGAATGTGTATCTAAAATAGACAAAAAACTCCCACAAACCATGATCCAAGAAAAATAACCCCATTTAAAAACTGCTGCTATGACTTGCTAAGTGTGCTTCAAAGGTCCACATGGTAAAGCTTGGGTTCCAGGGTGGCACCACTGGGAGGTGCCAGAGCCTTCAGGACTTGGTGGTCCTTGGCAGTCCTCAGGTGGTTGAGGATTTGTCCTTGAAGGGGATGTAGGCCCCCTCTCTTCTCTCTTTGCTTTTGCTTTCTTTGGCTCATGAGAAAGCAATGTGCTTTGTCATTTATTCCTGTCTGATGTGCCACCCCTGCCATAAGCTCAAAACAATAATGCCAACCAAGCATGGGGTACAACCTCCAAATGGAGCCAAAATAAACATTTTTTTCTCCATAAATTAACTACCTCAGGTGTTTCATCACAGTCATGTGAAATGATCAGAAATTTCTCCAAAGATACATAAATGGCCCAAAAAGTACATCAAAAGATGCTTGACATCATCAGTTACTAGGGAAAAGCAACATCCACCCACAATGACACACTGCTTTAAAACCACCAGGACAGCCACAATCAAAAATTCAAACCATGAGGGCCAGCAAGGCTACAGAGAGATCAGGACACTCACACACTGCTGGTGGGGATGTAAAAGAATACAGCCGTTCCAGTAAACACCCTGGAAGTTCTTCAAAGGATAAACACAGAGCTACTATGAAATCCAGCAATTCCACTCCTAGGTATACACTGGAAAGAAATAAAAGCATGTGAAAACGTGTACACGAGTGTTCAGATCATGACAGTGGCCGAAAGTGGAAACAACCCAAATGCTTATCAACTGAGTGGATAAGGAAAGTGAAGTGTATCTATAAAATGCAACATTATTCAATCACTAAAAGGAATGAAATGTTGATACATACCACAACATGGATGAACCTTATAAACATGCTAAGTGAAAGTCATCAGACACAAAAGGCTACATCCTACTGGTATACTTATACAATATGTGTAAACTAGGTAAATCTCTATATACAGAAAGTAGAATTATGGTTGCCTTGAGCTTAGGGGGTGTATAGTCAGCTTTCCCGTCGCTGAAACACAATTCCCAACACCTGCGACTTAAAGATTTTTTTCGGCTCACAGTTTCAGTGGATTCAGTCAGTGGTCAGCCAGCTCCTAAACAGAAGACATGTTGAAAGCCCATGGCAGAGGAAAACTCACTCACACTATGGCAGCCAGGAAGTAGAGGGAGAGGAGAAGAACCAAGGACAAGAAGACACCCTTCCGGGTCAGGCTCCAGGGACCTGAGCTCACCTCTGAACTTTTGGGGAACATTCTAGATTCAAACCACAACAGGGGAATAGGGAGACTGAGAGCAGATAAACATAGATGGCTGAGGCGGGGAGGTGAAAATGTTATAAAAATGATTTTGGTATGGCTGTACACACCTAGAGGTAGCACAGTAGTAGAGAACTTGCCTTGCATACACAGGCCCTGAGATTGAGCCTAGCCCCGAAAAAAAAAAGTGTACTTTACAAGAATGAATTGTATGGCATGTAAATCATATTTCAAAGTTGTTATAAAAAGTGAGTTAGAAACACAGAACATCAAAGACAAAAATGAACAGACCAGGTAAGGCATAACTCAAAAACAGCAAAAGGAGATGTCCCTGTGGCTGGACATGCCAAGGAAAGTAAGTCTGTGAGGGTTCCCAAAGGCAGGTGCATCATTCAGATGAAAGGGAAGCTACAGTGCAAGGGCAGTCGTGGGGATGAGGGGCTCAAATCAAACATGGTGCAGAGCAGAACAGAAGGAATGCTGTATGTGTGGAACAGAGACACAGGCAGACAAGACCAGCAAGTCCACAGCCCTATGTCCATTTTGGAAGGGACAGGTTGTTAAGCTGCTCCTGCATAAAACTGGCCAGAAAGAAGTATCCTGTGCTCATGGCAGAGGACCCAAAGCACAGTGGGGAGATGTGAGCAGCTTCTGAGTGAAGAAATAACAGGAGGAAACACTTTACAAGCTGGACTGGCAGTCCATAAGGAACAGAACAGAGTCAGGAGCAGGCCCTTGATCATGAAGTGGCAAAGGCCACTTCAGCAGCACAGAATGAAGGCCTGGTGGCTGTCTTGACTGTAGGGAGTGAAGGAGAACACAGGATTCAAGAAGAAAAAGTTTTGATCCTAAGTTAATGGAAGAACTTGGGTGAAAATGACAGAAGTTAAAAAAAGAAGAATCTATTTTGAGAAGGAAGAACATTAGTTTGATTGTAGGAGGATCACAAGTTCGAGGTTAGCCTGGGCAACTTAGCGAGACCATGTCTCAAAATACCATTTTTTAAAGAACTGGGGATATAGCTCAATAGTAAAGTGCTTGCCCAGCATGCTCAAGGCCCTGAGTTCAATATCTAGTTTTTTAAAAATACTCATATTATAGAAGAAAAAGAGCTTTCAAGAGCTCGTGGCTTTACTCTTTTTTGAGCTGTAGCAGTAAGTACTATAATGATTGACACACT